TTAAACTCTCTAATGTGTGATACGTGGAAATGAAGCCAAAACATGTTGAACTGAACATGCCCAAAAAACACAACTGTGCACCATGAAGAAGCACTAGAGAGAACAGCAAAATGAAGCTGGTGGGCAAGGTGAGCTTTGGTTTTACACTAAATTCGAAATAAGCCTTATGTGCATCACTTGGCCAGTCTCTGTATATCTGTATGAGTTCACCCAGTACACCGTGATGAAAGGCCCAAACGGCTGCACCCTGATGGAAAGAATGACCTTGAAAGGATGAAACGTTTGGGAGACCAGCAGCAGCAATCACCTGACAGGACACAGCAATAAAATGAGCCTGGGTGAGGATGGTGGGGCAGTAATGACTGGAACAAGGTACTATATTACCAAACCGCACCACTGAATAGAATGTAAATAAAAAGGCACAAAATAGTATGCACGAAAGAGGATCATTCACGAAATCTAAAACCTTAGAATCTGACCCAAACCATCAGGAGTGACTAGAGAGCTCTACATGGGTTGTGTGGCACGTTATGCACAATGCTACCTAACATCAGCCAGAGAAGAAAATCCTTTTTGAGAGGAAAATCTAGTGCTGAAACAAATGTAGTGGTTAAACCACAAACATTCACTTACAAATAGTGGGGTGCTAAACATATTAAATTTCACATAAAGGCAAATAGTATCCAACATAGCTGATGTTGGTGTGAATAAAAATATGTACAAAATAACCAAAAGGGTTTACATTGGGTTCTTAAATTTGGCAGAACAAAGTATGTACCTCAAATCCTTTCTCAATGGAGATAATGCTAACAAATCTACAATAAAAAAACAAACAAAAAGGATCCATTAAAAAGGACTGTCTAAATGAAACAAGGTAATTGGCACTGAAACTGCAACAAGTTATGCACTTTGCACACGTTTCAAGAGTTGTTACCTTGTATGCGAGGTCACATTCCAGCATGAAAGTACATCAGCTTCCCTATTCAAGACTCATGGAAGGTGACTGCTTGAATCTCAAACTCATGTGTTGCCGCTAAGAAACAGACTTTGTGCAAAAAAGAATTAATAGAGGCAGTCAGACATCAGCCCAAGTTCAGTGCAGTGACTGTGTTGTGTTCAAGACTGGCTCTTTTGCTTTGTCTACTTCACCCTTGGTTTGCCCAATAGCATCGACAGTTGGAGCCTGGAGCGGATCTCCTGGTTGCAATGCTATATCTTTAGGGTTTGGAGTAAGTTGCCATGGGTTTCATCTCACTGCAGCAGGAGGTCTTGCTAAAAACTGCCATATTCTCCTGAAGGTCGGAGATGTGTACACTATTGTCTGGTAAGAGATTGCTCAGTTCGTTAGCTGTATGTCCCTGGTTGCTTAGTCTTGATCTTCTTTTCCATCTCACAGAGTTTAGGTAACTCCAGCCACTGAGGTATAAGTTTGGACAGAATTGTGGGGAGAGTAGTTGGTAATCTCCTTCCCACGCATAGCTCAGTTGAGCTAAAGCCATTTTCCAGTGGAGTGGCTCTGTGAGCTAGTAGTGCTTCATGCAGATCTTCTGCCTTCGTAAGAAGGTTCTTCATCAATTTTACTGTGTGTTCTGCTTCTCCGTGGCTGTTCGTCACTTGAAAATTTGGCAGAAGAATATTGAGGACCATTGTCTAAAATTACTGTTTCAGGAATTTCACGATGTGTAAAGATTTCTTTTCAGGTGATTGTTTACTTGTGCAGTTGACTTTCAAAGTACTCTGATTGCACGGTAGGGAATAAGGTAATGTACATTCAGTATGAACTCATCAGCTTTCCATTCGAATAAATCTGTGCCAATATGAATATGTTTGCTTCTGAAACCAAGCAAACAAGATTTTTAAGCTTTGCATTTAAACCTATTGCCATTGTCGCCTGTCTTAAATTAAGGAAAGCTACGTTTGTGATCTGGAACTCTTCCTTCATTTATTTCAGATAAGTCAGCTGCGGTTGGATTACTTTGGAGAATTTAATCTTTGTTTCAAGATCTCAGTGGATTTTGCTTCTGCAATTACTTGATCTAAGTCAAGCTGTCATTGGCCATCAATCTTCACCTTAGCTACAAATTGCCAAATTTGGCCACTATTTACATGTGAGCCATTTTATCCTGTAGATCCCCATAAGATCAAACGTCAGCCTGTTTCTGGAGATCTTCCATAAATGGCATAACCCCTTCTTTTTCTTATTAAAAGCATCTCACAAATTGTGTTCTGTTGAAAACTAAAGCCACTTTATCCTTGAGGTGTTCCTTAAACCTTTGTTTAACATTAATGAAAGTGTTTTCCTCACTGAGCAGCTTGAAACTTTTTGTTTATTTATTTATTTATAATAACTTCATTTGCCTAAATAATAAGATAATCATAATAATATAAAAAGAAGCAGAGATGATAATTAAAACATATTTACAGACAGATAAAAAATAAAGATAACATCGAGATGCAAAATGGCAAAAA